AGAAGTCGTCATCTCGTTCGTCGGTGAAGTCTGCGCACGGGCAGCGACGTTCGGAGAAGAGGTCAATGAAGTCGTCGACGTCGGTGGAGCGGGGCGGCGTGGCTGGTGGCTTCCCGTCATTGGCTGCGCCCCTCTCTGATCGAGATTAGGGTTTAGGTTTCGGTGGGGAGCTCGGCTCATGGTAAACCTCGTGTTTAGAGCCGCCGGCCCCCACCTCTATATATAGCGCAGTGTGACAGGGGCCCTCCAGCCATAGTGGGCTGGGCGCCCCCGATCAGGGCGCAGATCAAAGGCCCAACTGAGTCGTTGGGCCCAGTTTAGAATTAGAGATCAATCTAACACACTGTACATATCATAATTCCTTTTTAACTAACTATATTGCCTAGCAACAAACACACCGTTGGGCGGGTGTGGTTGATTGCATCTGCAAGAGTTGGTCTGAACCATGTACAAACCAAGTGTTGTAAAAAACGACTCTGAATAATGGTTGTCTGGCTGAAATGCTTCCGTTATGAGGTTGTCGCCTTAGTGGTTACCTTGGAAAGCACAATAGATGTGTCTTCTTCATTGAGCGATGGCAAGCTATCTTTGTTTTACAACAGAGGGAGTAGATAATAACCAGGAATTCAAGAAGACGAGCGGAAACTGACATCTAAGCCCATTTTGTAGTCTTTCATCTTTTTTTGAGGGGATTGTAGTCTTTCATCTGACCATGGAGACTGTGAACCCAAGAAGAAACTGAGATCCGGCCGAACCATTTTGCAATGGCGTTTGAGCCCACCTCATCTAGAGACCAGCAGGGCCCATATATTGCTATGCGTGCGTTGGAGCGAGCCCCGTCACCGGAACCGTAGAAGATGCGTTATCCTTGGACTCAGTTCCCCTACCGCCCCTATTCCTGGACTCCTGATACATGCATGCATGGTGTCCTTGTCAGGTGGGTCCAGAGGTTCTGATTTGGGCAGGGCTGCCATTCAACCCAAAACATTGTGAGAATCTCTTTGGTAGGACTTCCTTCGAGTATTCTTTCCAAGGAGTCGGAGCACTTGAGGAGCCATCTTTTATGGCTCTAGTTCATGGTCTAAAGGCAACTATGGCTTCTCTATTGTTCACACACACAAAAAAAAATAGCTCCTCTCAAACAGGTTCTTATTGTCCTCTAAAAAAGTCTGATATTACCCGATGAACACATGATCCAGATGATGTGATTGATGGATATAAACTGGAGTAAAACCCATGTGTTAATCATGCATCTTTTGTCAGCTACTTTGATTTTGCTTCTCTGCAGCAACTTTAGACCGAAAACGATCTTGATTTATTTGATCTTCTTTCTCCTAAGAAATTATTCATTTTGTGGTTGTGGCATCTCTAGTATTGATCTAACAACATGTCACGTTGCCCCAAGTGGCGAGTAGTCATGTTGATCTTTTCTAGATAATGGATAGAGTATTTGGCTTCGCCCCTCAAAGAGGAACCTGATCAACTTATTACAACTTAGCACCACATGTAGGACAAATGAGTTTTAACACCATCATCCATAGGACACAAAGAGCTCATTATCATAGTCTCCTATTTTCAACAAACACCACAACAAGCGCTTATCAATCCTCATACCGTTGCAATTGGGTCAAGAACTGAAAATGCCAAATTTATCTAAAACAATTTATTCCTTATTATCTAAATGAATCATAAAATGGCCGCTACATGGTTAAGTAAAAAGGGTTCTGTCTCTTCAATCAAAAATACCAAAATCAAATAAGTTCAAGGCCTTGAACCTTCGCTTCCCTTCCGGCTCCGGTTCTGCGGGTCATGACCTCCCACCCCATTAAGCCGTACGCATCCGATGCACGTGTGCACGGTACCTCTATAGTCTACCGCTCTCAGACCGTTCCTACCCTCCTACGCGTCCTACCCCGTAATCCCTGTCGATCGTGAGCCAAGAATTAATTATAAAACAATACTTTCCCTTTTCAAATTATAAATTAATTTAGCATTTTTAGATACATAGCTTTTGTTATGTATCTAGAGTTCTAGACATAATATATTCTTAGATATATAGCAAAAGCTATGTGTCTAAAAAACCAAAAATGACCTATAATTTGAAATGGAGGAAATAAAAAAACATTCGGATGCAAAATGGGAATAAGAGAAGGAAATATGTAGGAACTACCCTTACCCTAGCCTGGAAAAATGAGAAGACACAATGAATTATGTACATAATTCTTTTACGAGAACTAATCATAACCGAAGTTTTTCCTTTTACTTTGTTAATTAAACATTTAGGCTCCATGAGAACGGAAACTTATCGGCAGCCTCATGTGAAAAGCTATTTAAAAAGCTACAGTAAGATATAATAGAATGCCAATTTTACAGAAATTATGAACATCTTATCTTAATTATTAATGCATAAAAACATGTAAGTAAGGAAAAAAAAGCATGAACACATATACTCAAATACATGCACGCCTATCTCTTAATCCTTTACTTATCATTCATTAGATCAATCTCATGGCTACGATGAACATTTACATCATTCAACCATTCAACGACTATTCGATGGTTCATCACATCATTTGTTAAGTATAAAGTAAAGACATTTGTCCCTGTCAGAATTACCGATGCTAAAATTATTCCACGGCTAATCCAAAAATAGAGGTGTGTCCAAGCTAAATCGTCATTAACACAACATTAGTGGAGCAATTAGCAATATCATAGCGGTAAACCCTATGAAAAAATATATAACGAAGCTATAGCAAGCTATGTAGAGCCATGGTTATCTTAAAATAATACGTCATGAATTTATATCACATAATTTTGATGAGTTAGAACATCTAATAATACTTTGACACTAGTGTTAAACATAGTTTTTTTCAAATACACAAAAGATTTGTGCATCTTTGTAATTAAGATAGAAATGTTTGGTACAAACAATTCACTTATATGAAGCTCTCTAGGAGGTCTACAGGATTACAGCCGTGGGCTGGACCGTCCTAGCAAATAAAACAAAGAATTCGATATTACACAAAAGATAGACAAACGGTGTAAGCAAACATTGGCGTTGGCGATGATACGACTGGAAGAGGGCTTGCAGGATTCATCGCGCAACTTACGAGAGCACGACGCTGCTTCGAGCGCCATTGAAGAGCGCTTAGCGCTTCTTTGCGTGCCAAGGTGGGGAAGCGTCGAGCTCAGACTCATAGAGCTCCTCGTAGACCTTCGTCGCCGAAGCGTTTGGCATTGGCGATCCCGCAACCAAACCCAACCGCTGCATGACTAGGATCTCACATCGCTTAGAAAGCGTGCAGGAGAGAGGCTCGCTCATAACTAAGCTTTGGACGCTTGTTGTTTCACACACGCGTAGGCAAAGCACCGCGACAAAAATATTTGCGGTGGCTCCTTGGTGTAAAGTTTTGGAGTATCACATGAGGGTGTCGCATGGAGTGTTGGATCGCGAATTAGAGGGGAGGCCCTCTTACATGTCACTTTGTTGATGAAGTTGCCAATGTGGCATTTGACGGAGGCGTCGTTGTCCACAGTCTGGTGAATATCCACCGACAGCGTCCTGGAAGTGCCAGCATCTGCCGTAAGATCGACCGAACCGAAGCCTGGTGGGTGGCCATCGTCGTGCCCCGTGGATGCACCCCTAATGAGGCGACACCGGTGGCGAGTCCGTCGCCCATTGGATGGGGCACGGCTGTGGTGCCTGCGTGTTAAACATAATGATAAACAGTTTATAACGTGTTTTCTCTAAGGTCTTTTTAGCACGGCTTTGTTTGGCTCTAGGTCATAACTAAGCTCCACCAAATGGACCTTAAATAAGTTACATGTCCACTCTCACCCCTATAAATTTTGAAACAAAACACACACGTATGTAGAGAAAACAAAAGCAAATCTCGTTGAAGTGTAAATACAACGGACAAAAATATTTAGGAAGTACATCGACGCAGGCCTTGTTTAAATTTAGGGTGTAAAGTTTTGAAGTGTCACATGGAGTGTTCGATACTAATAAAAAACAAATTATAGAATCCGTTAGTAATCCACGAGACGAATTTTTTAAGCCTAATTAATCCATCATTAGCACATGTGTTACTGTAGCACAGCATTGTCAAATCATTGACTAATTAGACTTAAAAGATCCGTCTCATAAATTAGTCGCATACTGTGCAATTAGTTATTTTTTAGTTCATATTTAATACTTCATGCATGTGTCTAAACATTAGATGGATAGGGAGTAAACTTTAGGGGGGAATTAAACCAGGCTTTAACGTGTTATCTACATAGATGTTAAACTTGGAGGAGCATTTAGACTTTTACTTTAGAAGTGTTATCTACATAGATGTCAAACTTGGAGGAACATTTAGACTTTTACTTTAGAAGAAGAAAGTAATACTAACACCCATATCTTCTTGGGATATTCCCCGTTTATCTCCACCACCCACGGGACCATACCAGAAAAAAAAACGAACGGATGGGGTGATAAGTTAAAAAGAGAATAAAGACGGGGTTATATTAAGTGAAAAGCCAACAGAGGCCGGTGGAAAGGAGAGGAGAGAATCGAGCAGAGCCACCGATCGCTCCTTTCCACTTTCCACTCCGCCTCCGCCTCCGATCGCCGTCTCCGGCCGCAGGTGAGGATCTGATCCTAACCAACTTTCAGGCGACTGCGCCACCCCATCGCTGCTAGGGAGGAAGGGGGACTTCTTCCGGTGAGATCCATGGCTGCCGATCTTAGATCGGGAGGCGGGCGGGCGGGAGGCAAGGGCGGACTGGCGGCGTGCCGCAGCCGCCGGCCGCCGTCTGTGGGATACGGCCGGGCCCCCGCTGGGGCGGGGTAGCTTGATCGGAGCGGTTGCCGTGGCAGGGGTGGAGCCGGTGGCAGCTCTCCGCCGCCGGCGACGGGTGCTGGATGGTGGGGCGGGGCTGGGGAGCAAGTGGCTGCTGGACTCGTGTTTCTGTCGGGACTCGGGAGGCTGAAGAGAGAACGACCGCCGCACTGGAGGATGAAGGGAAGGAACGAGGCCGTTAGATCGCAGGTGGACGGCTGGGATTGGTCGCCTGAGACGAGGGCAAAATCTTCTGCCTCCCTGCATATTCTTGTTGCCTCATGGATCTAGCCTGCCACTTGGTGTCTGGTGGTGGGATTCTAGGACCAGTTCTAGCCTTGTTGGGGTTACTGGGGTTGATCGATACATGTGTTGCATCAGTGGAAAATTGCTGCTTTATGTTTCTCAGTGAACAAAAATACTAATACTACTATTGCTGATTGCGCTGGATGCATTTTTTTCTTTTAATTTCTGGTTCTTTTCTATTCAGAGGAGGATGAGTGAAGAGGATAAGACTGCTGCTTCTGCTGAGCAGCCTAAGAGGGCCCCTAAGCTCAATGAAAGGATCCTCTCTTCTCTGTCCAGGAGGTCCGTAGCTGCTCATCCGTGGCATGATCTTGAGATCGGTGTGTGGATCAACTATCCTTTCTTGCTCTCCTAACTCCTTTGTCAGATAGGCATACGCTAAAATGATTTTGTTTATGCAGGCCCTGGTGCTCCTGCTGTATTCAATGTTGTAAGTACCATCATTGCCTTCTAACCATTTGACATGTTATATTATATATGTTCGCTGTTGTGGGGAATTAGATTCTCTGGAACCTTTGAGGGGAAGGTGAGGGATTTTGATGTAGCTGTAGTGGTGATTCTGTACTGCTTTCTGACCACTCAAGTCTCACTCTCATCTCGGTATGGTATCTCAATCAGACTGAAGTTGTTGGGAACAACATTACAACACTTTGGATGCATCAGTCTTTCTCATTTATTAAAACAGAGTTTAGCAAAGCAGTTAGTAGTTACCAAATGATTTTTCACTCAGCAAGCAGAAGTTGATGCATGATTGTGCCATTATTGTTGAAGCTAGTGTAATTAATTTTGTTGTGCAAAAGGCAGGTTTGACTCATGTATTTGCCGTCACTGTTGAACAATGAACATAATTAATCCTGTTATGTAAAAGGCAGTTTAAATACACTATTGCGTTGTTAGTGTTGAACAGTTAGTGTGATTAGTTCAGTCATGTAGAAGGCAAGTTCTATGCTTGATTTTGGTGTAATGTTAAATAGTTGGTATAATTAGTTCTGTCACGTGAAGGGCAAGCTCGCCTAATGAATTTCTCTTTAGTGTTGAACAGCTAGTACAATAAATTCTGTTACCTAAAAGGCGGGTTTGACTCGCGACCTGGCTGTTAGTGTTGAATAATTAGTATAATTAACTTTGTCAAATAAAAGGTGGGTTCCGCTCATGATTTTGCTGTTATTGTTTAATACTCAGTATAATTGTTTCTTTCATGTGAAAGGTTGTTGAACCCACAATTTTGCCAACAGTTTTGAATGATTAGTATAATTATATCTGTTGGCGTAAAAGGTCTCCAGTCATTTAATTTGAACTTGAAACAGCAAAAACCACCACTGTAGGAACAAGGTGCTTTCCTGATTTGCATGAGTTCAATGGATCATCCACCCTCCAGTATGTGGTAACAATATTATGATGGACAGGAAGACAATCTCTACCGGCCAAATGAGTACCATGATACATAATAAGATGACTCCATGATTAACTGATCCATCATAGGTGATTAGAGAACAGGATGGGTAGATCTATCGACTGCCCAAATATAAACCTATCTTACTCCCCCAGCCCTAATAGTGTAAAGACTATAGATTCATGTCAAGATGCATATCAATTACTGAGCATCTGACAGCTTGTCAGGATTGTTTTTGTACCAGGCATTTACATGTTGACATAGGAGCGACATCTTTCTATTATTTTTTTACCCCTTTTCAGATTGGAGCTAGAAATGTGTAGTAAATAAAATCACTATAAATAGGTACAAGCAATTTGTATGGTTCTTTCTTGGTTGACGAGCCAAAGTCAGATTTCTAGCCTTCGAAAAGGACAAGATGTTCCTTTAATTTTAATTTTGCAAATCACCTATTTAAGTGTTTGGTTGCAGATATTTGCATTTGTAAACATTTGATGCGCTTAGAATATAATGGTACATGAGTCTGTTCAATGATTTGCTTGTTGAGCAAAAATAAGTGCATGAGGTTCTTTTGATTATGATGTTTAACAAATCTAGTTAGCTCCAGACAGTGACTGCATTATATACACCATTATGCAGGTTGTTGAGATCACAAAGGGAAGCAAAGTTAAATATGAGCTTGACAAGAAAACTGGACTGATTAAGGTATATGTTCTGTTCTCAATGTTTCTTACATCTTGATCATTGCTTTCTATCTCAATAACAGTATGGCTTAACCAGCATGTATTTCTTGTACTTGTGCAATGTATGTTGATAATCGACCATCATAATATTACTTTGGTTACTGTGTTACATAATTTGTCAGGATAGTCGTGTCCTGCACTGATGAAATGCATTAGTTTAATTTGTTTTTCATTCTTTCTGACGTCATACTGTATTTTGTTTATTGTGCTACAATTTGGCAGGTTGATCGAGTCCTGTACTCATCGGTTGTATACCCTCACAATTATGGTTTCATACCGAGGACTCTCTGTGAAGACAATGACCCAATGGATGTGTTGGTCCTGATGCAGGTTAGTTAGTCTTCCTTTTTCCACTTGTCTGTGTCATGTAGGGGCATTTGTGAAGAATGTAGAGTATTCACTATTTGGATTACAAGGTCCTTGTTTCTGTTCAAGGATAGCTAATATTAGTTCCCTGGCAGTCACATTCTCAGACTGCCCAGCTGCTCTATAGTTGAGTCAACTGCAGTTATTTACACAACAACAACAAAGCCTTTAAGTCCCAAACAAGTTGGGGTAGGCTAGAGTTGAAACCCAGCAGAAGCAATCAAGGTTCAGGCATGTGAATAGCTGTTTTCCAAGCACTCCTATCTAAGGCTAAGTCTTTGGGTATATTCCATCCTTTCAAATATCCTTTTATTGCCTCTACCCAAGTCAACTTCGGTCTTCCTCTGTCTCTCTTCACGTTACTATCCTGGCTTAGGATTCCACTACGCATCGGTGCCTCTGGAGGTCTCCGTTGGACATGTCCAAACCATCTCAACCGGTGTTGGACAAGCTTTTCTTCAATTGGTGCTACCCCTAATCTATCACGTATATCATCGTTCCGAACTTGATCCGTTCTTGTATGACCGCAAATCCAACGCAACATACGCATTTCCGCGACACTTATCTATTGAACATGTCGTCTTTTCGTAGGCCAACATTCTGCACCATACAACATAGCAGGTCTAATCGCCGTCCTATAAAACTTGCCTTTTAGCTTTTGTGGTACCCTTTTGTCACATAGGACACTAGATGCTTGGCGCCACTTCATCCACCCTGCTTTGATTCTATGGTTAACATCTTCATCAATATCCCCGTCTCTCTATAGCATTGATCCTAAATATCAAAAGGTATCCTTCCTAGGCACTACTTGACCTTCCAAACTAATATCTTCCTCCTCCCGAGTAGTAGTGACGAAGTCACATCTCATATACTCAGTTTTAGTTCTACTGTAGTTATTTGTGAACAAATTTTTTGATATCATACGAGCAGTGTCATGACCCTGCGATGATTTATCTCCTGCAGGAGCCTGTTATTCCTGGTTCGTTCCTCCGAGCAAGAGCAATTGGCCTTATGCCCATGATTGACCAGGTATTTCACATTAGACACTATTTGAGGTAGAGGGAAAAGAACAACCCTGCTTCTACTTTGTTTCTAACTATGGGTGTCTGTTGGGCGTTATCAGGGTGAAAAGGATGACAAGATAATAGCAGTTTGTGCTGATGATCCTGAATACCGTCACTACAACGACATCAGCGAGCTGTCTCCTCACCGCCTGCAAGAGATCAAGCGCTTTTTTGAAGATTGTATCCTCCTTAATTCATCTACTGTTGTCTTACTACACATGCTCTAGTATATTGGGACAATCATATCCACAGGTATAAGCTTCCTTAGCGATATCTTCTAGACAAGAAAAATGAGAACAAAGAGGTTGCTGTCGATGCATTCTTGCCTGCGACCACAGCTCGAGAGGCCATTCAGTACTCCATGTAAGCTCAGCTTGACACTGATCTTTTGCTACTCTGTTACAAAAGTTCATTCTTTAGTTATTTTCCCCTCCCTTTGTGGTGTTTGTTGAGTATGAAAATGCCTTGTGACTCTCAGTAACACATACTTATTGATCTGATCGCAGGGATCTGTATGCGCAGTATATTTTGCAAAGCTTGAGGCAGTAGATTGCAAGCAACTATTTATCGGGGCGTCATGGATTGAGCGTGATTTTAATAAGTCAAAACGCTTGATATTGTGTGCGAACCTTGGAATTGAGAACAATGTCACTACTTGTACTCCTTTTGCTTTTCCTACTTGTACTCCTTTCTTGTTAAATTATGAATAAGCGAAGTCCATATTTTACCGTGTGGCTTCTTCGCTGGGCTCATCGGTGTTCTTTTTTGCTGGGCTCATCGGTCTTCGTCTATCCAAGTAGCTAGCTGTATGGAATAGTGGAAGGATGTCTAGCGTTGCCGTTGTTTTGCTGTTATGTATGAGATGACACTCCTAGTAGGCCTGTCGGCTGGCTACACGGGAGGCCGTGGTGTACCTGTAGCCCATTGGCAGGCGCCGTTTGGAACATGGGAAATTTTCCCCATTCCTGTGTTTTTTCGGTTGAAATAAAATTTGTTTCTATAAAATTGAATTAATTAGTTCATGTGATTTTTTGTTTTTTTACGTAAGGAAAATTTTGTGTTCCAAACAAGCCTTTAGTGTGATGCCAGTGGTTTTTTAGGGGCAACGCCGGTAGTTGTACCTGAACTTGCGTCGCGTGGGTGGTGACGAAGCAAGTATAGTACCTTATAGTTCAGGAATTAATACTTTAATAGCATGTCGCCTTCAAGAATCAATAATTCGACCTTGAGTTATTGTTCCAAGTGAGTAGTCTGCCCGTAGCGGCAATCACAAGTGAGGTAGGACGGCTATGCCTATTCTACGAGGGCTGTTTGTTTGCGTACCTAGCCCGGCAACGCCTGATGACTAAGGGCCTCGGCTACTAAAAATTAGTACTATGTTTAGATGCTAATTAGAACGGACTTGCTAGCGTCTGAACCTGCACTTGCAGTCTTTTTCCCGTGCTATTTCACGCGCCCACGTGGGACCTGTGCCGCCTCGAACGTCACAAGCATCGAGAAGAGAGGGAGAGGCGGCGGATGCCCAGCCGGCGTCGAAAGGAAGAGGAGACACCGAGACGAGGCAGCAGAAGGCGAGGAGGGAGATGCAACACCTGATCTACTTTTGAAATATTTAGATGGAACACTTGCAACATACGTCTGAAGGCAAATGAAACACTTAAAACATGCATCTGAAACACTTTCAAAAACACCTGAAAAACACTTGAAACTATTGCAAAAATATACGCTACATCCAGATAAAACACTTGCAAATATATGCGTGAAACATATGTAATATCCAGATAAACACACTTGCAAAATACGTCTGAAAAATAGATGAAACATTAGGAACAAAAGCATGAAACGTACTTGTACAACCATTGCAACATATGCAACATCTCAATCTACTTTTACAACATCCATATGAAATACTTGCAACATACCTCTGAAACATCTGAAACACTTGAAACAGACGATTGCAACATGCACTTTCAAGCGCAACATCTACTTGCTGCTTGGACAAAAATGGAGGCTCGTCGACGTGGAGCTTGATTCTACGGAGTGGCGCGGGAGTCGCTGGTGTGGACCTCTTCGGCGGCATGGACCTCGGCAAGGTCCGCTGGTATAGCGGATGCAAATCGGCGTGGGCTCGATTGGAGGAATGGGAGTCCGAAGTCTGGGGGACCGCGCGCATGGGGCGGCGTGGGCAATGGCGTGGTCATGACGGGAGGCGAGTCCCAAGGGCGGCCTAGGCAATGCGATCAGAGCGAGCGAACAGCAGCAAGAGGGGGCGTTTCGGGGCAAGCGGGGAGGTCCGCGCTAGCGTGTAGTGAAAAAGCGAGCAAAACAGGCTGGTCTGTTGGACTGACGGACACCCTATCATGAGCATTACCATAATTAGAAGGACTAAATGTGAACTAATTTTAAAACTAATAGTCCGGACGGACGGACGGACGGACCATCAGGAGCATTACCGTAATTAGAAGGACTAAATGCGAATTAATTTTAAAACTAATAGCCGTGGCTAAATGGCGAGACAAATCTATTAATCTTAATTAGCCCTTGATTAGCCTATGCTTACTGTAGCACCATATAAGCTAATCATGTCCTTGTTAGAATTAATAGATTCATTTCGCTAATTAGTTACCGCTTATGCAATTAGTTTTGAAATTAGTTCACGTTTGATCCTTCTAATTAGCATCTAAATATAGTGCTAACTTTTAGTACTAAAGATCCAAGCAGACGCTAAACTAAATAGTCTGTAGGCGTATTTGGTTTCCACCCTAGAAATCACACCTGGACCATGCATCAATGTCAGGCTCTAACAGAGCTCTGTAGGCGAGGCGTTGAACCAAACAAGTCCGTGGTTGAAGGTCTCCCAGGTAGCTCTATGGCTAGGCTCCCAGACGTCTGGATGTTTGGGAATGCTCACAGCTCCGGGCAAACCTGCATGGCAGCAAAGCAAATACACATATAGAACGTGTTTGGTTGACGCCCTGGCCTGGAAGAACCGGCTAGACAGCTTAATCTAGCCCCAGACATTTTAAAATTAGATGCATGGGATTATTGCCTGGTCCAAAGCAGGTTTCTCAGTTCATGAACCAATTAAACTATTCTACTACAGCGAGTGTGTTAGTCAGTTACAACTACGTGCTTCCCACCTTCTAGCGGTGCTTGTGTTTGTGTTCACCCAATCACCAATAGCATCTCGCCGTGAAGTTTCCTTAGATGTGTAATCTTTTTCTAAACTCCTTAATGAAATACGTACTAAGCAAGCTCTAAAAAAAATGAACCAATTAAACAAGCCTTATACGCTTGATGGAGGCATACATACAAGAGGCAGAGAGAGAGAGAGAGAGAGAGAGAGAGAGAGAGCACGTGTATGATCATATGTATTGGAGTTATAGAATGTAGAATGAGGGCAGTAACATGAACTAGTACAAGATTGAATGATCCGTGCATTCCATTGCATTGTTCATTATTATATATTCCCTGCACTTCAAATTATAAGATGTTTTAGTGTTTTTAGATACATAGATTTTATTATGCACTTTGATCGACATTGTCTAAATACGTAGTAAAAATAATATATCTAGAAAAACCAGAACATTTTACAATCTGAAATAAAGGGAGTTCTATTTATTTATACGATATACAAGACGAATGGTGCCATTAATGATACACGTGATCCGAGTAAGAGGTAGGGTTGAATACTATAGAAATAAGGTTTAGAGGCGTCATTTATTTTTTTTCGGAAAAAGATTGAGTGGACGATGGGTGCAGCGATGCCTCCGTGCGCTCCCCTGCCCGATGGACGCCATGTGGGCCAAGACGCAATCACACGACAGCCGTGAAGGTCGCCCCGACGGGCTCCAAATCTGCAGACGACGGCTCGGCTCTGCATCGGCTCCGCTGCAACAGCCACTAGGATGGACACAAATACAGTTGAAGACATGAATATCAATGTCAGGGTGCTCTAACAGAGCTCGACAGCGACGGCATGCCAATAGATCGGCACAGGAACCAAACAAGGGGGTCCATGGTTGAAGGTCTCAGGCCAGGTAGCTCTATGGCTAGGCAATCTGAGCCCCAGACGTCTGGATGTTTGGGAATGCTCACAGCTCCGGACAAACCTGCATGGCAGCAAAGCAAATACACATATAGAACGTGTTTGGTTGACGCCCTGGCCTGGAAGAACCGGCTAGACAGCTTAATCTAGCCCCAGACATTTTAAAATTAGATGCATGGGATTATTGCCTGGTCCAAAGCAGGTTTCTCAGTTCATGAACCAATTAAACTATTCTACTACAGTGAGTGTGTTAGTCAGTTACAACTACGTGCTTCCCACCGTTTAGCGGTGCCTTGTGTTTGTATTCACCCAATCACCAATGGCATCTCGCCATGAAGTGACCTTGGACGTGTAGTTTTTTTCTAAACTCCTCCTTACTGAAATACATACTAAGCACGCTCTAAAAAAATGAACCAATTAAACAAGCCTTATACGCTTGATGGAGGCATACATACAAGAGGCAGAGAGAGAGAGAGAGAGAGAGAGCACGTGTATGATCATATGTATTGGAGTTATAGAATGATGCCGCAGGCGGAGCGGAGGCACGATGGAGAGGGAGGCGTGGTCGAGAGGGAAGCGTGGTGGAGAGCGCCGTCGCCGAGGCAGCGTAGCGGAGCGCAGTCACGGTGCTGCGGTGAAGTGAGTTTTTGTTTTGAAATGTTGGAGGCGAGTGGATGAGCAGATAAGACACGGTTGTTGGGCTACGTCGTGGCCCACCATGGCACCATCCGGGCAGACGGAAGCGCTGTACCCAGCGTTACCGAAAAAGGATCCACCATACATACATGAAGATAGAAAAAAATAATGGAATTACGATGGATAATAACCGAATATTACTACTACCCGATGCAAAAAGAGAACCTGAAACACAACCATCGCCGCTGCAAGACCGACACCGGCACTGGCCATTGCGCCGTAAACGGGCCTCGAGCGGCCGGACGATGACGACAACTTTAGTTTTCCCGTGCGAGAGCTAGCGATGAAGGACCGCGGACCGGGTCGGATCACGCTGCAAACGTGCCTCCGGCGGCTAGACGACGACGACTTTTCCTGTCTGAGCTAGCGATGGAGGGCAAGGTCGTATCACGCCGCAAACGGGCCTCAGGCGGCCACACGACGACTTCTTTTCTTGCGCGAGCTAGCGACGACGAAGGAGGCCGGGTGGCCGAGCTCGATGGACTATGGAAGAACGGGCATGTGGCCGGCCATAGCCGGACGAGACTTTTCTGGCGCTGAATCTGATTGGGACGATCGGCTATCGTCGTCCAGGGGATGCATGCTGTTAGGATTGATCTCCCACCAGTTAGGCCCAACAGCCTAACTGGGCCTTGTCCTCGTGCCCTGATCGGGGGCGCCCAACCCTACATGGTTGGTGGGCCCCCGTCGCACAACGCTATAAAAGAAAGGTGGGGGCCGGGGCTCGCAGTACGAGGTTCACCGCGCCGCCAGTCACCCCACCGACATCCTAACCCTAGACCCGATCTTGAGAAGGGGCGCTGCC